GCATTCCTGAAATCAAGACTGCTCAGTTTTCTGGTGGTCAGTTTTGAACTAGGCTTTTTTGTTTTCACCTTTTCAATTAAAATGGAAGATTAAATTTTCTTCAGAAAGAAAACATTTATTGAAGAAAACCACTCTAAAATATGGTATGTAACTGAAAAATATTTTCAACACAAGATCTACTGATTGCTTCAATGCAAAGCATCAATTTATTACTGAGACCTGAGCTGCCTACACACTTTGTCTGTTCCGTGCATTAGCAATGAGTCTAAAATTCTCAGCTCTTCAGTGAAGTCTCCTTACTCTGTCAACATGGATGAAAGAATAAAATGAGAGGTTTTTTCATTTCTTTCTTGAAACATAGCACTTTTATGTCTTCTCCCCAATGCAAGGAGACTGGTCTTAACATGCTTTCAAAATAAATAGAATTATCACTGTTTCCTAGTTGAGGAGACATACAGAGGTAACACAATTTGCGCAAGTCATTTGGCCAGTGCCAGAAAAGAAAACAGAAAGTGGGTCTCCCAACTCTCTGCAGTTGGCTGTACAATCTCTTTAAAAAATACTGAAGGTGTGTGGTTATTTTTATTTATCTCAACACGGCTGGATTAAAAATAGTTTTTATTCAATGACATAAAATGATTTTGCAGTGAAGGTCAGAACAGCAGATGTATTATCTCTAAACAGCAGCTAATAATCTGCTAAAAAATAATGCAAGCTGTTATTTCTCAAGCTTACCTGGAAGCTGTGCCTAGTGCTGTGATCCATGCCTGGAAAATCCCAGCAAGGAATGAAAATGGGCTTTTCCTTGTTATCACAAAGTAGAGCAGAGGCAGGAAGATCCCTCCATGGATGAGAAGACCCACAATCACAGTGACCATGTACATGCCAAGTTGTCTAGCAACTACTTCTAAGTCCTTGATTGCAATGATTTTTCCACAGATGAGGCAAGCAATACCCAAAGGGGAATACCTGGAGAAGGAGAACAAGCATAGACAGAACTAGTCTTTGCAGCATAGTCACAAAAATTGTGCTCAACAGAGTATAGACTGGAGAAAGAGTAGGGGGCTTTCAGCTCAACACTGAAATGCAGATCAGGAACTGATGGAAATTCAATGGATAGCTTTCACATCTTTTTAAAAAAATAATGGCCATCTCCAGCGAATTCCCCATCTACTTCATTTTATTCCATCTCATCAAATGGAATATGCATTTCCTGAATAGTCTTTGATCCTGGAATAACATCACACAAGAATACTATAATGTTACACAGGCTTGGATCATTAGAAAGGGTGGTGTAGTATTTGTTCTTAATACATAACTTTTACAACCCATTGCTTATCTGGTTTCAGGGAGCTGCATTATTTGCTTCAGTTAAACTATTTGTTGAAATGAATTGCTTTTATCTTGAAGGCTGCAAATGTTTCCATTATGTTCTTTCAATAATCTGGACAAATGCTTTTTAGTTTATGGATTCTTCATTAATTATGTGCTTTTCTTACTTAGGGTAGGGTTTTTGTCACCTCAGTCATGTAATTCCCCAATGGCATAAATGGAACTTTTAAGTAGGATGATAATGGTAGCACAGTTTGGTAATAAAAAAATCTGAAATGAATGGATATTATTTAAAAAAATGTAATAATCACCTATAGTGAAAAATGCCTGAAAAATGCCTGCATGGATAGAAGACAATATTTATACCTGCACTGGTAAATGTTAGTATATTAAATGTTAGTATATTATATAATTTCAAGTGACACTCAGTTTCTTTACCAGTTTTATAAAACTTAAGCTGGGAGAAGTAATGTGTGTAACATGGAGAAACAGGAAATAAAATGCCTTTCTGAAAATAAATGGTAATGTATATTTTCAAAAGTGATTAGTGATTTGGATGCTTAATTAAAGACAATGCAAAGGAAACTGATTTTCAGAATAAAAGTGCTTCATGTTTTCTGCAAGAAACATCTCATGGTCTCTCAAGCAATGTGCCCAAAACCTGCAAAGCCCTCAATCATTTGAAATGCAAGGCCAGCTGTTATACCAGTTATCATAAAAAGCCATGTTTCAATGAACTTGACGAGGCATATTTCTTATAAAGAATTACACGTTGTCAGAGCCAGATGTCTGATTTGTTTTATGTTTGTGTAGCAATGACAGGCTCCTGAGAGTCTGGAGTTGCCATGGGAGTTACAGCTCCCTGTCTGTGCAGAGAAATCATAAACCAATGAAACACAGTGTAACTCTGCATAAAGAAGTGCATTTGTCTTTATAAACACACATAAAAAAACCTGCTTAGGGGCACAACAATGCTTTAAATATTCTAGACAGAGATGAACAAGTGAAATTCCCAACATCAATCTCCTTTCTCATGAAAAGAGAAATAAAAAGCACATTAGTAAAAAACTAAACATTTACAGTGAATTTCTTGAAACTTGAATGATTTCCTGCCATTCCAATACTGACTACTAAAGAAAATTTATACTGTAGGCAAGGTATTATGTTTTGGGTGTACCAACTGGTGCTAAGTGAAGTAAGAGTAAATTCTAGCTCTTGGAGTGTTATGAAAGTATGGTCACCATCTCTCTGTAGAGTCGACAGCAGCAGGTTACAGTACCTACTGAAAGCAGTAGGGCTTTGTGAATAAAAATAACTGGGTTTTTATGCAGCAAGATCATCTACCAAAAAGCAGAAGCATAATAAGAATGCAAAGTCATTGCTTCAAGTTCTTTCTTTTGTTCTACACATTTCCACATTGCTGTTGATATCTGCATCACTCTTGCATAAGATTCTCCCTTTGAAACACTGATGATGCTTCAGGCACCTTGCTCCCTTTCCTATGAACTGTGTCCATCTAGAGCCTCAGAGAAGAGGCATACTGCAGCTTTGTAACTCAGGAAATCACTTCCAGGAACACCAGGGAATCATGGGGAGCAATGAGCCTTGATACATGTTTTGTATTGGAGTGGCTATTTCTGCTCTCAAAGGCCTAGGAGATACGAAACACAGTAGTACAATGCCAAACGTAGCAAGGTGGTTTTATGTTCTGAAAAACTGGTTTTGTGTGATATGGCTACATTTGGCACTGCGTACAAATAGCTCTGGGGAAGCCCTCAGAAGAATCATCTCAAAGAAAAAAAAAAAAGAGAGAATCCCTTTCCAGAAATGTAAACAAGGGCTCAGTCTTAATTGGGCAGTCACTCCCTTGAACGCAAGCCAGGCCCCATTATTACAAATGGGTATACTTCAAAAACAGGATGGATACCTTCCAGTCACCCCACTGCACAAGGTTGTAAGACACACATTCTGCAGAAATTATGGGTGGAGGGACTACACATCACTGAAAACCACTGGAATTTTATTTGGTGGTGAACTATTTTTACTACAAAAGAATAAAGTGTCTCTCTAGGCTTCTTTGTAATTATACCTCCTAGCTAATACCTTGGGATTACGCTAACCATCCAGGAAGATTTGGATGTTCTTATGTGGGGCATTCTTGCTTGCTTAGGTATCTTTCTATGTAATGAACTTCCATGATCAACGTGGCATTTGAAGGCCTTTGCTGGTACCTGCATGTCTTGGATTTCAGTAAAAAAAGAACAGAATACCTTCAGAAGTATTTCAGATTGTGTCCTAAATAATCCCCACTGAATAGAAATAATGCTGCTGTGGTTCTAACATACCTGTGAAGGCTTTAAAAAATTAACTATTTAATTACATTGTTTACTAAACAAACTGTGGTCTCTATATGCTATATTAGGGTTTTATGAGGTTTTTTAAAATCTTTTTTTGTTCTAGAAGTTAGAACTTCACACTTACCACATGATCATAGTTACTAACTTCATTACAATCTCATTCAGGATGTTGAAGAAATCCACCATCATCTTGGCCTGTTCTCCCATTTTCCCCATAGCAATGCCAAAAGCAATAAAGAATCCTATCAAACCTATTGGGAAAAAATTGCAAGACAAAAAAAAAAAAAAGCAAGTAAAATCATGGTTTTTAGGAAGCTTTTGCACCTAGTCAATGTCTTGATACTACCCTCTAATCCAGTTTTCAGAACTATAGTGTATTACACATCTCTTGGGACTTTTTAATATGGACTCACACTCAACTTTCATGATCATATTCAGAACACCTTTTATTCTTCAATATTTTACTAAATTCGAATTTCACAGCCCAACTATGTTTTTTTTTCTTTTTTCCTGAATAGATCTGATCACCAAAAAATACCTATACCATAATCTCCTTAGTGCCATGCAACTGTTAGAAACCTCATAGCCCCTGGCAAACAGGAGAGGCAACACAGCACCATATCATGACCCTTCTTTGTTGCTAAAATAGTCGCTAGAGACCAAGAGTGTTTTTCTCAAGCTTTGCAGAAGTCCCTTGACAGATTCAGCCTACAGACTAGTCAGGCCTGGCATACAGGGAAAGGCAAAAGCAGCCCCAGAACACAACTTTCGCAGGCCAGGAGTATTCCAGTTAAATGAAGAAGGTGGGGGTGGGAGGAGAAGGTGGGTATTGCACTTTAAGCTAAACCACAGAACTCCCCTTAAACTGATTAACCTCACTGAAACTGCCTATCAGTGGATACACAATCATAGAATTCAATACAAGTAACATTTGGCTCCTAAATTTAAATGCTAAGGTGTGAAAGTCTGGAGCATTGGACTATCAGTGTGAAAAACCAACTGAGTGCATCTGTCATGTATTACTTTGGAGCTGTGTCTCCAATGCTAACCCTTACCATCCAGCAATTTTCAGTGTCCAGAGTAGGATTATTAACTGATACTGATAGATGGTTTGAATCTTCAGCCACCCTTTGAAGCTAAACTTTCAGTCATGATATGAGTTCAGTATTTAAAAAATATGTGAACTCAGCTGGGAAATTCCTAAGGAAAAACCCATCAGGACTCAAAAGCATTCAGAAGGCAATTTCAGCTACCAGTACTCTGGGAAAAGACTTTCAGCCCCCAGACTTTTTTTTTTTTTTTTTTTTTTAATCCAATCTCCTGGATATAAACTCATTCTTTAGAACCAAGCTATCTTTGTTGAGTCACTTGAATAGGGAAGTGAAGTGTATGTTTGTGTGCTGGAGAGCATAGAGAAATGAAGAAAAGCTTTTCAGTCAAAGACCAAGTAACTTCCTGGAATTCAGACTCTGCATCAGAAAATGTAAGTAGGTGGTTTTGTTCGTTCATTCCAAATGAGCTGCTACATTAGTCATAAAAGTCAAGTTGGTTCACATTTGCAGGAATTTGCCTGGCTTGTACAGTTTATGCAAGCTGGATGCCAATTTCCCAACATTTTTGCTTCTTCATTCAAAACCAAACCACACCAAACCAAAAAACTCTGCAACATTTGGGAGTCATTGCTCAAAATACTACAGCAAATCCCCCATCTAAACTGTGTATTTCCTTTCTGTAGGAATCGTATTCAGCCTTCTAGTTTCTTATGCATGACAGAGCCTGCACAAAACAAGTCCAGCACTAAATGTAATGCATCTCTCACATTAGAAACACTGTTTCATTTTAATGCATAAGCAGAGCTCCAGGAGGGAAAAAAAGCAGGTGAGGGTAACAGCATGAGCAATGAGCTGCTGCCTCACACAGGGTGCAAAATGACAATCTGCAGCTTTGAAAGAAAGCGGCTCCTCTGCCCACAGATGTTGAATGGGAGGAGGAGCCGTGGAGGCAGGCAGAATACAGTGGCTCCTGGCTTTTGTAGAGCAGACTGCTTCACAGAGAAACAAATAATCTCTGATAGTTTACTGATGCTATCTCCCCTATGTCTAAGCAAAGCAGCCACAGCCAACCAACTCACCAACACCTGGAAAAGCTCTGCAGGTACAGCAGCCACTGCGTCAGCAGGAGCAGTTCATCAGCTGTAAGGAGTCTGTAAGGGGCCATTTGCCCCTAAAAAGTGAAGGCCTAGTGGTGAGATAAAGCAGCAGTTTAGGTACTGCCACATACTGCCCCACTTTGAGGGCAACACCTGTAAACACAGGTGTCAGCCTCAGCCCTGTGGACAGGTTGCCCCAGAACATGTGTATCTTCAAGCGTAGGTGTGCCAATGTGGCTACAAATTGAGGTCTAGTTTGTGACTGACATCACCCACATCCAGAAAGTAAGAATGTGAAGCAGGAGCACTCCTCTCTGGGCTGACAGAACAGTGAGTCTAGGCACAGAGGGGAAAACAGAAGTGGTGTGGCAGCTCTTCATTCCCCCGTGCCCCCACCCCAGTCCGAACAGGTGCTTCAGGAAAGGGGTGGGAGATAGGCAAAGCCTTCATACCACCCCCACCTGCTGGCTTGTCCAGATAAGATGGCACAACAGCACTTCTTCATAATTTGCAGCTGGTAAAGGTCAGCAGCCAATATGAAAGAAGGAGGGAGTTGTGACTCAGAGATGTGTCAAGCCTCTCTGGGATTTTTCTTGGGTGGTGTGGTTTACACCCCACCTCTCACTTCAGGCTCTGCCTCAAGCCAAATTCTAGTTCAGCTTGCCTGAGACACCTACTGGAAACAACTGAGCTCAAATTCATCAGGGGGTGGGTAAAGCAATGGCTCTTGAAGCTCTCCCCCTCAGTTTTGCCAATATGCGTTAGTATTAGTCTAGGTAGGCTACTTCTAGGATGAAAGAATATTTTGGGTATCTCCTACATGCTTCCTCACTGTACTCCAATTAATACCTGCAAAGCTGCTAATCCAGAATAATTCACTTGATTGTTTTTGTGACACAGTCATGTTTCTAGTAAGACCATTAGATTTTCATCTCAGAGACCAATGGACCAGTAGGTGATAACATTTGATGATTATTTGGGGAGACTAAACTCACACTGAAGAGCAGATCAGACAACACTGGCTAGCAGTCACAGCCAAAAGCTGTGTCATACATATGATGTACATATTTGACAGGCAAAAAGTTTTCCTACCCAGGACATTCATGCCATCCTTAAATTCAAGTCCTTTCTTAATGACCAGCTGGGCTTCTGGTGGTGCTTCATGCACTGTCTCGTTCATCATAGCAAAAGCGGAGTCAGTGACATTAGGTGGTTCTTCAATGGGTGGTGGCACCAGCACTTTCTTGGTGACAGTTTGGATCTGAAGGCAATAAAAAGGGAGGATGAGAATGGAAACAGACTGAATGTAATCCATATGGGAGATCACAAAATAACAATAAAAAAAGTCTTCATTTGAAATTCGAGGGAACTATATTTTTAAAGGATTAGACATTCATTCCACAACCTCTTACCCCCTCTTCCAAAAATAAGTTTGTTTTTCAATAGTTCCAAGTGTCAAAAAGTCCTGGGAGTCTTCCTCATGACTCTAGTGTGAAAGAATGGCAAATACTTGTTCCTTACCACTACAATGTAACATTACAGATAGTTAGCCCCTTTGTCCAGATGGTTCACAAATGGTGCTTCACAGATTGTATGTTACATCTTGATACCATTTATTTAGCACCAAAAGGCAGGCACCTCTAAGATCAGTCACAGCAGCAACTCTGCAGTAAGGCTTGTTATTCAGGACAGTCTGCCCAGCTCAAGTTATCATAGTTTGATGGTTAACTTGAATCAAAAACTTAGGACATTTCCAACACTTCACTTGGTGACTGCAAGAGCTCAAAATGGAATACATAGAGTCCCCTGACTTCTCTAATCTATTGTGAGTGACAGATAACAGAAAATTATCAAAGCTGCCAGGAACCTATTAAATCAAATCTGACCACGTCAAAAAAGAAGGCACCAGCATCTGAATGGATCTGGACCCCTCCTGGCACATGAAAGGCAGAATCAAGGGAAAGCTGGGAAGGAATGCTGGGGGGGAAATGTGCTTGAGTTTATGGCTAGGAAAAAAGGGAGGAGGGAATGGAAAAAAGAGAGATCTGTGACTTGCTGCTTTTAGAAGGGATGTTTTCCTCCCACTTCACACCTTGAGCCTTTCCTGCCTCTTCATGGCTCTGGGACAGGCAGAATGGTTAGGATGCTATGACCAATTTACCATGGTTTCCCATCTGCTCCCTATGTTCCTTTTTCCTAGAAACATGTTTGAGCAAGGCATCAGAAACAGCGCATTAGCCTTTCAAAGAACATTTGCACCTCTTTCGTGTTGAGATGGACATTGTAGTACTATGGTTGATGTCCTGGTTTCGGCTGGGATAGAGTTAATTTTCTTCCTAGTACCTGGCATAGTGCTCTGTTTTGGATTTAGTAGGAGAAGAATGTTGATAACACACTGATGTTTTTAGTTGTTGCCAAGTACTGATTATGCTAGTCAAGGACTTTTCAGCTTCCCATGCTCTGCCAGACACACAAGAAACTGGGAGGGGGCACAGCCAGAATAGTTGATCCAAACTGACCAAATGACTATTCCATACCATATAACGTCATGCTCAGTATATAAACTGGGGGGGGTTGGCCAGGGAGCAGCGATCGCTGCTTGGGAACTGTCTGGGTATTGGTCGGCGGGTGGTGAGCAATTGCATTGTGCATCACTTGCTTTGTATATTATCATTGTTATTATCATTATTATATTGTTATTATTATCATTACTATTTTACTTTATTTCAATTATTAAACTGTTCTTATCTCAACCCAGGAGTTTTCTCACTCTTACTCCTCTGATTCTCTCCCCCATCCCATCGGGGTAGAGGGAGTGAGCAAGCGGCTGTGTGGTGCTTAGTTGCTAGCTGGGGCTAAACCGTGACAGATGATGATCCAGATTCAATCGATATACCTTACGTCTCTCCTTTCAAAACCTGCTCTCTAAATCTAGAGAGGGGGATGCAGACAGAAAACCTACATGGCTTTGTATGAGAAACTTTTCAGTTGTCCTGAAACAACCCAACATGCCTGCATGTTTACATTTTTTTCAGAGTTAAATTTTATCTGAGTGATGTTGTCAACACAGTATTTTTTATGTGAGGTATCCAGAATGTAAGAACAGAGTCACAGAAATTAAACTTAAAATACAAGACTCTACACACTCACAAATTCCACTACAGTCACTTAAGTCAAAGGTCCTCAAGCCCTTCTTTGCACAAGGCCACAGTCCCTAAAAATGCTGAGCCTATTATCAAGTTTAGATTCTGACAAGGTCTGAGGCCAGAAAACTATTTAAATGTCAGTCTTATTTATAGATGATAGTCCCATTCTCTTTCATGGCACATAAGATCTTAAGTCTCTGCTGGAAGAGCAGTTTTCATTATAAATTAAGACTTTCTTGTGGACCATATAAAAATTCAATAGATATTGAAATCCCATGATGGTTCAGAGTTCAGTCTGCAAATGAATTGTCTCAATATTGCAAGTGAATCCCTTCATTGCTTTCTGCCTGGTCGCAAGGGAAGGCATGTAAAACTCCCCCACAGACCACAGCTACACAGTACCATTGCTGTGCACCCTTCAAAATCATTCTCCACAGGATTTCTGCAAAAAATTGCTTCCTCCTGAGGCAACCTGGAAACACTGAATGCTCATGGAGAGAGCCTGTATAAATGCAGGAAGAGAAAATATACAGAATCATAAAATTGTTTAGGTTGGAAAAGACCTTTAAGATCATCAAGTCCAACCATTAACCTAACACTACCAAGTCCACCACTAAACCAATTAAGGGTAGCATAACAATTAATTTCGTGTTTCCTGGCTTGGTGGCTGGATTATTTTTTAATGAAAGTAAAACTAGGAATCATTAAGGTTCCTGAGCACCATTAAAAGCAGTTGATTTTCCTCCTAAATAAAGAGACAAGTAAAGCCTAGCTCCTTACTGAGGAGTTAAGGGCTAACAGAAGGCACAAGTTCCATCTGGAAAGGAATGTTACTTACTTTGCAAATGAAAGGTGGCATTGTGGCAGAGGCTTTCACTGGCAATTAGTTTGGAATCTGATAAAATTAAACATTGAAAAGCCAAAAAGTTCAGCAGCTTTTTGACTAAGTTTAATAAACAATCAATGGAATTGGTGATCCGTAACTAGTGAAGTGACCTGAACATTGATATTACACGCACTGAAAAAGCAATATTAAGGTTCCAAGAAAACTGACACAGGTACCTTAATTCTACTTTCTCCCGCTTTTTGTCCCTTTGTCAAGATATTTGACCACTTTCAACTGGCCAGAAATTTAATTCTCCTCTCTTCCACAGTTGAAACTAGGTTTACCATAAGCACCCTGCTCTCCACTCGCTCAATTTTGCAAAAATATATTTCACGTTACATGTGATGTTTAGCCACCCACAGTTTGACCATGACTGACATTCCCATGATGATTTGGAAATATTGAGAATGTTCTCTCTTTAAACCCCCAAGGACTATGTGTTTTTATGTGGAAGTCAACGGAACAAGTGAAGCAATCCAAGCCTTTTTGGCAGCTTAGGTTGCTCTCCATTCTTCCACTCCCCATGGCCTCTTCTCCCTTCCCCCTCTTCTCTTCACTTTACTCTTTGGCCATAACCACAGGTCCAGCTATCATGCCATTTCACATAGGAACACTTAAGAACAGGTTTGGCAACAAACCCTGTTCCATAAAAAAAAAAAAAAAAAGTCTGCATTATTGCCAAACAATTCAGTTGTAGGAAAAAGCAGATTACGTACAATAAATATGCTTAAGCAGAAATTAGGAAGCATGCATTTTTCATGTATTTTACCCCTCAAAGTGAAGCCGTTTTGATTAAGCATTGGTAAAAAGCTTTTGGACAAAATTATCTACCTATAGAGCAAGCAACACATGGTGCAAGCATCCCTCTTTCCCAGCATGCTTCAAATGTGGCCTGATGGAGCCACCTGTAGGTGGGACAGCCACTTGACTGCATTATCCTCACCTAGTCTGGACTCTAACATAGCAATAAAAGTTATGAGAGGTTGGGTTTTGGGGTACATTTCCACTGGCAACCAGCTGGAATGAAGATCATCCATATCTTAGAAACAGGGCATTGCAGAACCATCAGCTCTGTAACTAACAACCAAGATCAAACTCAACCTCAGTGAGAGATCCCATAATTCATCAGCTGTTCAGCCCCAAGCCAGCATTCATGACCATATATATTGTATAAAAAGTGAGGAAAAAAATTTAAGTTTACTTTATAACAAACTAAAAATCCTCTTCTTTAAAAAAAACCTAGGAATTTAAATAACAACTACTACATAAAACAAAGCAGCTATAAATAATGTTCTTTCATTTACCTGCTCAAGACTTAAGACCTGTATTTCTCTTTGTATCATCAGTTCTGTTATTCACCTAAACAATGACATTAACTCTATAGACATCCCTGGTAAGTAAAAGATGTAAAAAATATTACCAAGGAGCAGAAGGATTTACCTGCTGAAAGCATGCTTGGACTAGATTTTCAGGGAACAGGTTTCGGATCAGATCCAAGAAAGCATCCAGACTAGATACTTCATCATTCTTCTTCCCTTGACCAAGCTGTTTCTTGAGTTTTGGATTCCCTGGATGGATGGCTAAAACCAAAATCACGCCCAGTACAGCGGCAATAATAGTGGTGGACATGTAGTAGACCATGGCTCTTGTACCCAATCGGCCACTTGCTTTAGCATCTAAACCAGACAGTCCTGCAGGTGTTTTATTTTAAGACACAAACAAATATATTGAGACTCAATATCCAGTTCAGTAATCACCAAATAAAATCCTTTATAATTTGCAAAGCTTAACGACTGCTTACAGGTGCCTACTTCTGTCCTTATGAAATTCTCACCACTAGATAGAGCACTGAAGCTTCTTCCTCCAGTTCTTATGTGAATAATGTCTGCTGCTACTAATCTCAAGAGAACCATCTAAGATTCCATCTAATCGCAGAGGAGGCATTGAAAAATAGAGAAGATATCATACTATCTTTTGCCCTTGATTGCTGCAAACTGGTCATGGTCTGGCTGACACCACAGCTTTAAGAAGGCTTGGCTCACTAGTGTCATGCCATCTTATTTGCAAAGTCCAGTCCAGGAATTAGGTGAAACAGCATATTAAGAAATCTCTGATGTTCAAGAATCATAGAATTGTTTAGGTTGGAAAAGACCTTTAAGATCATCCAGTGCAACCATTAACCTAACACTACCAAGTCCACCACTAAACCAATTAAGGGTAGAAGGTAGCATGTATGCATGTGTTTGAAAATAAATTCACTGAAGCATCTACATATTAAAGCCAATGAAGTTAATCAGAAATTAACTCTGAAATACACACTGCAACTGCAAAATCCCTGACAGAATCACACTATAATTCTTCCCACATCGCAAAAAGCAAACCAGGTGATACCTGTAGCAAGCATCTTAAAGTATTTATGGCTAATAGATCTTACCTGTGATTAAACTGGAGATAATTAAAGGGAGGATCAGCATTTTTAGCATCCTCATAAGTATATCGCCTGGGAAGGCTATTAACATGATGATGTCAGGGTCAATAGGTGTTGCTAGACGAAGAAGACCCCCACACAGTGCACCCAGAATGACACCTGGAAGCAGAATAAAATAAAGCAGGTAGGTAACATAAATATACCTGAATATGCATTGATTACCCAGAAGAACAGCCTAGAAGAAAAACAGTTGCACAAGGCAGCTGATTTTTGGTACAGAGACAGATTCTAGAAGGCTTAGCCTTCTGATTAATATGAGGCTGTAACATGCTTACCATGTATCTCATGATTAAAGAGAAGTGGCCCTGATGTAGAATCTTATGGCAGCTGAGCTTACACCTAATGTACTATTCTGCATCTGCAAATACAAATTTGCTGCAAACCACAATGTTATTGAGGTTTACAAATACTGTGTAGGCCTTGTAATACATTGAAGGACAGTCAAATATAATTCATATCATCATTCTACAGCTGGCAAAATTGGAGCACCAATTGGTGAAGTGATTTATGTAAGTCCATACAGAACTGACAGAAAAGCCAGCGTTAGGACCCAGCTCTTCAGAGTATGACATCTAGCTCTCAACATAAGAATGGTACCACTTGAAAACAAGGCCAGCATAAGTAGCTATTTTACAGCCTAAGAAAAACCCTGCAGGAAAGCTAGAATAGTCTTGTGAGGAAAACAGATTCAAGTTTCATTTGGGGGGGGTTTTGAATGGAGTGCCAGATCTGGAATACTGCACATATCACTGAAGAAAACTTGATTCTTAGTACTCATTTATTACTCCTTCCCTTTGATGGTCTGCATCCTTATCTTCTCTTTGTGCTCATTTTCTCAAATCACAAACAATTCCTTAATTACTTATTTAGATTTGTACAGTGATAACACCTAAATCCCTCTTTGAGGATTGAGGCTGTTAAAGCACAGTCTAGGGAACTTTATGAACTATTTTCATAACATGGTGCTTGTGAATGGATATTTTAGGCTTACATCCAGGATGCCTTTGTTTTCCTGATCCCGAGCTCAAATCTCAAGTGTAATAAAACTTGACAGCAAAGCCTGAGTTCTGACTTAAAGCAACTATGACTCTTTGAAGTATCAGTTTGATACAATAGAACATATACAGGTATTTAAAACTATTTCTGGAATGGCATCAGGCACCTTCTAAAGATGATTCAAAGCAAATACTATCTAAACACTTTAGCAGTATGGGTTTTGACGGCTGAAAAATACGGATGTGAAATTTGCAGCTCAAGATCAGCTGCAGCTGGTCTTTCAAACAGTAACAAAATAGAGTATGTCTATGAATTTGCTGCATTTGGCTGTTAGGCTTTCAGTGAAAAAGAAAGAGGCAAAGAGCCAGTGAACCACAATAAAATGTCAAACTGTTCTGTATTTGGAAGTTGCTAAAGCCAGAGGCAATATTCAGGATGAGATCATGGAGCATTGGCTTACAGCTACAGAGAGGGGGAAAAACCTTAAAAGCAGTGGAGCGTGAACCAAGAGATAAAAGATGAAGGAAAGGAGATTTTGAAGAGCTTTTGTCTTTTTTTTCAATTAACTGAGAGAAAAAATGTGTAGTGCATTTAATTCTACTGAATGACATCAATCTGAATGACATCAATCTGACTGGCCTTGGGACTTAGATCACACTCCATTCAAAGCCAGATATAAATGTATCTCAGTGGTGTGGATTTGCTCTGTGTTGTGTCAGTAATACCCTGCACACCTGAATTAAAGCGACAATGACTATGGGTTTCCTATTTATTCTCTGGAGGTTTAGCTGGAACAGCTGATGACCATGGACAGGGTCTGTGATACTACATGAACAAATATAGATACACACAGCATGTCCAGACCAGCAGATGTAGCTTACCGAATACAGTGAGAGTCAGGAGTAGGTTCCTATGGAGCGACTGGCAGAACTGCACACATATGTTCCTGGATCTGTGCTCCATTGGACTTAAATGACTTTCATGCATCCGCACTTCTACTTGCTTAGGCATATTGTTGGCACTAGAATGAAAAACGAAAATCAAGTAAAAAGTTACAGCACAAGATGCCAAAAGTGAGAGGAAAGTCTGGATTACTTCCATCATATAAAACTGGGGAATCTGATGCATATTCCACTGCTTCCCACATTTCACAAACACTGTATATTTACTGCTCTGAAGAAGTCTCTGAAATGGCAATGGTTTGTCCTTCTGAAGGTGTAGCCTTAAAGGTATTTTTTGCGGTTATCTCTCAAATGGTGGAGATTTTAAAAAAATTAATTCACTGGACACATTATCCCAACTGTTTCATGGACTAAACTATTGGTCTGTAGCTGAAAAACTCCCCGAAGATCATGGCTGTCTACTTAAGTAGGAGAGATGGCTGAAGAACAAAGTTTCTATTAGCAGGAAAATGCAGATTTTAATACCTTATTTAATTCCAATGCAGGAAAAGAGTTTAAAAATTAGGATTTATTTGCAAAATAAAGCATTCCAGAATATTTTGCTTAATCTTCCCAAAACATTTCATGTCAACATTAACATTTTATTGTAATATAATGAGAATGCTGAGGTCAAAATGATCTTCTTTCAACTTGGCTGTAATGAGACTTGAACAACTGCCACCGAAAATTAGTCAGAAAACTATGCATCCCCCAAGAAAACCTTTGGTTTCATTGAATTGGCAGTGTTTAGAAGAAAAAGGTTTTTTGACTAACTCTGGTTTATATCTGAGTAAGTGTTATGCACATGAGTGCAGGACTTTGAAAGCCATGCCTCTAACTTTCTCAACACCTGAGAAATCATTAGCAATGACCCTTTTTTATATACACGATATTAAAATGTACTTGAAAAATACTACTAAAAATACTACTACAAACAAAACATAGTTTCCCTAAATGTTAAGGCTGTCCAACTTAAATGTGAGAAATGGGTAAAGAACAGATTTTTTTATTATCAAGAAAATATATATTTTGAGATCTGATCTTATGCCAGATTAGGACAAGATTTTAGAAAAAGGAAACCAAGTCTTCCTCTACAACAGCAGACTGAGGTCTACAGACCTAAAACAGGTCTGAAAAGATATAAAAGGTTTCGATGTTCTTAGTACTAAACCATTTCCAGGGAATCAAAACATTTTTTTGTTATATATAGTACAGCTTGCTGTCTTGATAAAGTTTCTCAGCAGAAAGTTATGATTAGACCTGTAATAAAAATTCAGTCATTTTGATGCAAATAGTTCCATGATTTTCCCTTTCAAAGTGAAATGGCATTTCTTTCCAATACATTTGGTTGTTAAAAGGTAGCACCAGCAGAAAATGCATTAGAGAATACTTTTTGGTTTTTTTAAAGGGGGAAAAAACCCTCCAAGTGTTGTAATTTACCCTTTTAAATCTTTTACAGTGGTGGTTGCAACAAAATGTATTGCTGATGGTAGAATAACAAACAAGAACATCAGTATACATTCTGACAGCTTAAATGTGAGGCATGCCTACTTCCTGAAGACTCATGAATGCAAGTATCAGAGATACATAAGGATTAGCCAGGGGATAATGTGCATAGCAGTTATTTGAGGAATTATGAGAAAGATGAGACAGTGTCTGCAGTTTTCATGCACATGGGCCACAAAGCCGTGAAACTACTGCTGAAAGTGTGCCACAAAATCAAGGAATGGGATCCAAACTTTGCAACTGGGGATTACATCTAGTTTCAGTTGCACTCTGAACACAAATGTGTAACTTGCTTAGACCTATTATTCACTACAGGTTGATTATATATTCCTCTGAAACTCTGAAATATGGACAGCTGAAATAAATTCAAAAGAAAACCTTAGAGGCTCTTCCATTAGCAAAGAATTAGGCAGAACTGGAATGGATCAGTAAACAGAAGCACCTGATGATGTTACATCTTTCTAGGATTTTGCTTTGGGCTAGGTTTAGTCTGGTTTCCTAGACCCTTTCCTACCTGACACCATGCCTATACCTTCATACCGTCCAAAGGAAAGCCACCTCATAAATATCTGCTTCCTTAGCTGTGAGCCTTTTGTCTAATTCACAGACAATGGAAGCATATCATTCTCCTGACAACATTGCTGAACTAAGTTCTCCCATGCAGAAGCAAGCCTCTGGTCCTGCTCTTGTCTTCAAGCCTTATTTCTATTCCCATCCATTTCTAAGTGACAGCATGGTGTTTGCCCCCCAGATCCCCCTTCCCCTCCAAGTCTGGTCAGCATACAAACAAAGGTTCATGAAGGGAGGGGATGGTGGACCTACTCCCACAGCTGCAGTGACTACTTCAGGATTATACTCCAAGTGAATTGAAGCTAGCCCCGCTTGAGGTGGTCAAACAACACAGAGCTTTTACATGATAGCACCATCTTCTTCAAAAGTTCAGCCATGTAAAATGTAGATATCCAAATACCCTCTGAGAAGAGAAGGAAATGAGGACACAAAGCTCTTTATGGACATTCCTAAATTTCCAGGAACTTCATGCTGTATTGTGTGCTTCCCTCAAGTGCAAAATACGAGTTTTACACTCTCCAGCTGTTCAGGATTGTATGTGAACCTTCAGCACGGACTGAAATTCTGATTGGTATGTGGTTTTTAAAGAAAAAGACCGAATACTAAAATATGCTAATCATGCAGATCTGTTATAAAAAGCACTGACAGATTAATATAATCACATGAAAAATGGTACCTCAAAGGACCATAATCTAAGCTGTTAGCACTGCTCTTAGCAATGAGATTTTTATCACCAGACCAGAGACAAACTATTGTTTCAGGCTTTTGAGTATGTTGTGGGAGGGAGAGGAGGGGAAACAATAATGAAATAAAAACCTTCTGAGAAGGATAAGAGAAACTTCTTGTGTAGCATACGACAAAATCAGAAGTTTGCACCAGAAATTTTCTATCCAATTACTAGAAGATGAAAATCTGTTTGACCTCTGAATCATGGAAATGAGATTTTGTCTTATGGACTGAGCCATCTTCCCTGTGCTGTTTTTGTGCCTCTACTTGCATCTTGTAAATTATATTTAGCTCCAGAAGAATGCAGAACTTTTTGGACCTGAAACCTGCAGTCACATAATGACATAACTGCAAGAAGTTCCTACTGAGGTCAACGGAAGATGCACAGATGTAAATTAGGGCAGAATCTGGGCCCTTATGGACCAGATACCCCTGGTTCTGTCCTATTCCCCTGCTTTCTGTCACTGACATTACTGCACACTCACATGCACAGCTTTCTCCATACCATGAAGGCCACAGTGCCACGTTAAAGCATGCAAGGAAGGGGCTTAAAAATCTATAAGGCTTTCTTGTGCTTCAGATTTTCTTGCTGAAGGAAAAAAATAATGCATGACAGAGTGGAGCTTGGCTGCATCCCAACTCATGGGCAGCGCTGGGACTCATGCAAGGCCAGAAGTGTATGAACAACATGAGCCCCTAATACTGCTAACATAATCTATGTTAATGGTACCTCTGTACATAGGTAAGTATCACAAAACAGTGCAGAATGCATTTCAGCAGCTGTGATCTTTCAAACATGCAAATTATGACCTTGGTTAAATAAATCATTGTTCCACTGTGCTGAGCTTCTATGGCTATTCAAACAAATAAAGCGTTCTGAATGCTCGTCCTGAAGCCCATCAGACCAAAACCTCTTTTAGGCTAACTTCACTGAAGCTGGAACATGATAATATAAATTAATTCTGCTCATTATTTTCATATGTCACAGTGACAAGCAGCCAAACAACTAAGCTCCAGATAGGCGCACAGAGAACTGTAAGAACTGAGACCTTCAAAGAAGATAATATTTTCTGCCAACTACAGGCACTTGAAAACATTGACAGAACTTAAAAAAATGAACCAATATTGGAAAGTGTGCAGTCACATGAAACAGCACATACCAAGAGCTAGACATATGTGGTGCCTTTTGAATGATTGAGCATGATCATCTGCCTAGCCCCGTGTCACCTATTCTTCTCCCTTTTGAGGCAGTACTTATCCCTAGGGAAGGAGAGGAACTCCTTTGAACCCAGGAGATTTGATTTTTATTCACCTTAGGAGAGTACAGCAGGGTCTCAAAGTGAACACAATCTGTATTTTCACCAACTTCAAATATGCTCTGCTCTGCCAAGGTAATATGTAAGTGCATTAACAGAAATTATCAGAATTAAGCTGCAATTTTACTGCCTTTTAAGCAAATAAACAGCCTCTTGCCTGAATAATCAAGAAGTTAGCTGCTTGCTCTTTCCACTGTCCCTCATCCCCACAGTATACACAAGGTACAAGAAAAAAATCTGCCCATAGGCACTTGATTTTAGATTATCTAAATATTTACAGTTAGTTTTGCATGTGAGATATACAGTGCTATATGATGTAATCTATTTATCTGCAATTTTTAAGCTGTAGTGTGTTTCTCTTGCTGGTTGCTATGCATAATGGTGTCAAAATACGGGAAAACAATCATTAAAACACCAAGGTCCCTGGGATTTTTGTTCCTATCTCCTCCAAGCATTTTTCTTAGGTTTTATTTTACCTCCCTCTGGGAAAGTCTGCTGTTCTATTTCTTTTCAACTGCTTCTTTCTTTCTTGTATTTCCACTGAAGTTTCTAGGCCTAAAAGGTTCAAAAAACTGTTTGTTTCTTTTCCTTGGTTACCAAATGTAACTCCTTTCCTCACAAAAGCTAAGGGTTAACAATTTCCACAGTGCTTGAGTGAAAATGCCCTTTTATTTTCAGTCAGTTACGGGGAAAGAACTCTGCATCTCCCAAATACTTACCCACCTTGGCATAAACCTAGAGTAGAGACTAGAGGGAAAAAATAATCTTCCATCTAAATGAAAAATGTAGGTAAAGATCATAACAAGGCTACTGAAAACAGATGCTGTGAACAGGGTAAATTAGGAGAAGACTGTGTTTAATTTGTATAAGGTATTTCAGCTGTGTCAATTAATCAAGCAGGTAATTCTCAGTATGAAAGTCTGCCTTGGTTAGCACTGCCTGGAAATTAATTTGGT